TTTTCCATCAGTTTTTGGTCAGTGTTGTATTCTGCATGTCTTGGGTTAAGTACCTTCCTCCAAACATGACACTCCTCTTCAAAGAGCAAATCTGTTCAGCACATTCTGACAGACAGACCACCATTCTTCTGTCATGATGCTGTACAGGACATTTTTAGAGTTTTTCTTTTTAAAGATAAATAGGATTACATTTAAATAGCAATACTTTCACATTATCATTTTCCCACACTTCTGTATAACTGTATTTTGTTGTTTTTCAATAAAGAATGACAAATTATTTAAGTTTGGATTTGTTGCACACAAATACATATCTGTAAAAAATATCTACAAAGCTAATGTTTACATAACAAGTATGATTGGGTTTTGCAATACGGCACTATTTTAGTAAGATTTTTAAACCAAGTAAAGTTAGTAAAGAACACATTTCTATTGTCTGCTAAGAAACTGTTGGGATTTAAAATGGGCCTGTTGTACAAATAACTTGTAAATGATTATTCCTCACTTTTGTCTTAACCAAAGAAATTCCAGCAATTGAGCAAAAACATTTATTTTTAACACTACATTTTATAAAACAGGGCGCAAAGTGTCGGCACATGTATGTATGTCGATGGTCCACCCCAACCGAACCAAGAGACACAGACGTCAGGGAGGCCAAGGTTGTCTCTGCAGCTCTCTGGGCACCACGCCTCACTCAGCTGTCTCCAATGATCCAAATGGCTATGGAGAAAAAATAACAGGTTTGTCATAATTGTTTAAAGTACAAAACCATACATGAAGTGGTGAGACAGGTATGTGGAACTTACACTTGCTGCGTTGTATAGCTGATGTTGGAGACACACAGGCTGCCATGGTGACATTGAAACAGATCTAAGAAAAAAATGAAAATTAAAAACTCCAAGACCTCATGTCATATTTACTAATCAGCTATGGCTGATTTATTGTTTGGATCACAGTGAGTTACACTAATTCTAATATATTTTTATTTCTATTATACATACATACTTTTTAACTGTTATTTTCACATGACTGTTATCAGGCTCTCTTGTTCTGGTTCTGATGATAATCCCGTGTCTTCCAGTAAGTTATCTTGTGCTTACTTCATCTGTAGAATGTCTCTTTACTTTTGGTAAATTGTACTGAGTCCAGAATAAAGACTAGTTGGCTGTACAAGATACAAACAAGTATAACATTTTGGAAATATATGAAATGTATTTACGCTGCTAATTTAGCTCGAATACTAATAACTGCCATATTTTCCAGACTATAACTCGCACTTTTTTACATTTTCTGGCTGGTCCTGCTACTTATACTCCGGAGCGACTTATATAACAAAATATGTAGGCTACACCGCGCTGCTGCGGGCCGACTCCGACCCACACAAGAATGAGTTCCCCTGTCCCGCTGGGAGGGTTTCAAACACCGCCAGCATCTGTTAGAGCCTGTGGCGGGGTGCTGAGGGCCGGCTCCAGCCCAGGAATGAGCTCTCCTCGCCGGCCGGGAGGGTTTGAAACACTGCCATCCTCTCCTCTGCTGGCTGTTGTTCATTCTGTTATGGTTACCGGTGCTTGTGTTGCAATGTGAAACGCTTGGTCTCAGATTTTGTAAGAAAGATAATAAAATGTCCCCCCAAAATACGACTTAAATATATTTTCTCTTATTCATGATACATTTAATGGCTGGTGCGACTCAGGAGTGATAGCGCCGAAAAAAACTGTACTGAAAACTTGCTCAAAGCAAAATGTTTTCATTACGGAAATAAATTATAAACTTACCGATTTAAAACTTTTTTAATACAGGTACTTCTCACGAACAGGCGCAGAAAACCTCCACCTAAACTCCGTGTAAGGTTCAGGTCGATGGGTGTTCCAGTTAGCTCCGGTTGGGTTGAAGCTAGGTGGCTACATCTGTTAGCTCGGCTCCCACCTCCGCTTTAGCTTTGGGTTAGCCAGGGTTAGCTTCAGGTTAGCTCGTAGCTAGTTCGCCTGGGTGTCGTCACTCGAGCCCAGCCTTACAGCCCCACCCTCAGCTCCTCCTCTCTTCCCTTTTATGGAATTGTCTGGGCTGGACGGAACCTGTGACACGGTCAAAATGGCGGTGGTGGCCACCTCCCATTATAGACAACAAACGTGTTATTGAAGCCAATGGAATCCGTTTGTCCAGTATGTACAGTCTATGGTTCTGCCCAAATAACTCAGTTTAGTTTCTTCAGTCCACAGCACCTTATTCCAGAATGAAGCTGGCTTGTCCAGATGAGCTTTGGCGTACCTCAAGCAGCTCTGTTGAGCTGTGGGTGGAGAAAAGGCTTCCTCTGCATCACTCTCACATACAGCATCTCCTTGTGTAAAGTGCACCGAATAGGTGAACGATGCACAGTGACTCCATCTGCAGCAAGATGATGTTGTAGGTCTCTAGTGCTGGTCTGTGGGTGACTCTGACTGTTCTCACCATTCTTCACTTCTGTTTATCTGAGATTTTAATTGCTTTGCCACTTGGAGCCTTAACATGAACTGGGCCTGCGATCTTCCATTTCCTCAGTATGTTCTTAACTGTGGAAACAGACAGCTGAAATCTCTGGGACAGCTTTCTGGATCCTTCCCCGAAACCATGATGGTGTCAGGTCTTTGTTTTCAGCTCATGTGAGAGTTGTTCTGATGTTGCTGCTCTTCAGAGAATATTCACAGAGGAGGGAAACTTAGAATTGGCCTCCTTAAATACTCTCTCATTACTGGATTCACCTGCGTATGGAGGTCAAGGGTCACTGAACTTACCAAATCAGTTTTGAGAATTAGTTCTAAAGGGTTTTGAAAAAATGAATTGACTAAAGTGCCCAAATGTATGCACCTGTGTGCATACACGTGCTTGTGTATGTAAGGTTTCTCTATAGAAGTGTTCAATAGTGAATGTAAGGGGCCACAGACTGGGGGGTTTGAGTTATAAGTCTTTGGAGTTTAACATAAGTACTTACCATATTTACCCCAGTTAAAACATACTCAGCAACATAAACTTTGGTTTTCTGGTAAGCAATGGCCACCAGCATGCTACAGCCTTACTTATTTAAATGACATTGTCCTCTATTGATCTGCAAACCCAAAGACACCGTAGTACAAACAGGAGATGACATAACTTATTTATATTGTGACATTTCTGCAGCACTAAAGCACAGACAGAACACCATTTTGCCGTAGCATCTTATTAAAGTAGTCTTATTAAAGCTGCAGCTGCAGCTCTCACAAACTCCCTAAACCAGGAGTTGATTTTAGTTGTCACCTTTTTTCACATCTTGAGTTTGCAAGAATACAGACATCATGTCATCAATTTCTTTATGCTTATTATTCTCAGTCATATTTATCTATAAATCCTAGTGACTCAAATCAGTCAGGTAGTCTACAGGTGTGTCTCAGAGACAACAGGATGACCATCTCTGTTTTCAGTTGAATGCTGATTGTTTATGTAAAGTCAAGTCATTAGGGATGTGAATCTTAGAGCAAATCACGATTTGATTCGATTCAGAATCGATTCTCAATTTAAATCGATTCACGATCAGTATTAACAAAGAGTGTCAGCTCCAGGATGAACTACTTTGTTGTACAAGTTAGTTAAAGCTATGGGACATTTTTATTTGACTTTAAACTGGTCATGCTCAAAAAATGCAAATCTACAAGGTAAAATAAAGTGATTCTAAAACTGTAATCAAAAGCAATCTTTAGACCAAAAGGCAACATTTATTTTTGCTTACCTTGTAAAATATAACAAATCTGTAGTTACCTAACAGTAGCTTTGAAAGTAATACGGTCAAATACTTTTCAAGTATGTGTGGAAACAAGTTTAACATTTGAGTACTCAACCTGTTTAAAAAAGTGCCTCAGATTTATTACGAAGGAAAATGTGTTCTCTCATTTATCAATAACTTTAAATAAATACATGAGTAATCCTGAGCCCTCACTTATCAACTTAGAAAATAAATATGAGAACATCTCAAATTAATGACTATTGAAAAAATTACATTCAAGTGCCCACTTAGCAGATTCAAAAATAAATCATCTCAATTTATGGGACCACAAAAGTAAACGGAGTACTGACTCTCCTAACAAAGATAAAAAAACAGACTAAAGTGCATCTCAAACCTGTAACATGCCAAATATTTGAGTTCTTGGGATCGATTCTGAACCTTTGTGAATCGACTCTGAATCGTTATAAATAAGAATCCCGATTCAGACTTGAAACAATTTTTTTCAGCACCTCTACAAGTCATCCCAATGCACTTTACAATTCAACCCACATTTACTCAAATATAACAGCTGCAGATGTGATTTTGTAGCAGAAGTCAGGTACAAACAACACCGGGTCAGGTGACTGAAACCAAGCGACTGCAGTGGGCAGGTCCAGGATTGTCATGAGTCCAACAGCAGAGGGGAGGAAACCGTTCTTGTGGCAAGACGTTCTGGTCTGGATGGATCTAAGCCTCCTGCTCGATGGGGGCGAGTCGAAGAGACTGTCCAGAGTGACACGGGTCAGCTGTTATCTGACCTGAATGCCTCAGTGCCTTGGAGGTGTACAGGCCCTGTCTGGAGGGGAGTTTGCAGCCAATGACCTTCTCAGCAGAGCGTATGACACATTGCAGCTTCTTCCTATCCCTGGTGGTGGCTCCAGCATACCAGACGGTGATTGAAGAGCAGAGAAACCCAATTTGTCCTTTATTGTTTTCTGTATACATTTAAAGTAAATTACTGGATAGTTCAGGATAATGAGTTAAACTCTGATGCAGCAGCATGAAAACTGCAAACAGTGAAAATGAATGAGCTGATCCAGATGCTGGTGTTGGTGCATCCCAATAAAATACATACTAGAACCTTCAGCACCACTATGTATTAATGTACTTCACCCTGGAAAGAGAATAACTAATCATTACAAGCTTACATGACCACGAAGAGAGGATGTAAACCTCTTACTGCCAACAACACTTATGGCACAGGAAGCAGTGAAGACCAATGACTCCTTAGTAGATGTCACATAAAACCTATAATTTATTCATTTTCAGTAAAATCGAACATAGTAAAACAGCTTTAGAAAAGACTTCAGCTGAGGGTTGAAGGGGACTAGGGGAAACATATTGCTTTATAGTTGACCTTTTTTCCATTTACAACAAATAATAAACATTGGCATATATTTACACAAACAATATTACAATAGTACAAATCATCAAATCAGTCTTTTAATTTGTGAATTGTTTTTCCACTCATGCAAACAGTTTTTTCTACAATGATGCTTATGTAAAAAAAAAAAAAAAAAAAAAAAAAAAAAAAAAAACCAGAACTTTACTTTTTAATGACAAAACACTGAGTTCAGCTCCTGCTGTTTAACTGCCCACTCAGCTACTGGACAGCAGAAGGCTTCTCCTGCACCTCTGCTGCCCCCTGGTGGCCATAAAACACCAAACATTATTGAACTTTGTAGCGTTGCAACTTCTCTCTTCTAGTGAGCACCTCTACAGAATAAAACCTCTGAACATGGCACAAAACAAGACATTTATCACTATAAATAAACAATACACACAGTTCAATAAATAAGCAATAAAACAATATTTTTGATCATGATCATCGGAGGTGTGTATGTACATCATGTACAGTTTAAATAGGGACCACGGGGTGTTTGTGTCACTCTGAACATAAACAGGTTAGGTCTGACTTTTCATTATCAGACAAAAATTTAAAAACAAGAGGCGATAAGATTTTCTACAGAAATAAAAAAAAACCGTAGTATGAAAGGTTGCTAATATTAGCTCACCTCTCAGTGGTTGCAATGGAATTAAACCCAAATGCACAACAGAGAATATGCAGGTCACAGTGGCTTCAAAGCACAGCCTTTTGTTGCTGCTCTTACGTTCACAGGTGAGACTTCTTCAACATCAAATATCTGGATGCTTTTGAGGGATTTTTCCTCCAAGTCCATTTTATTTCAAGATCTCAAAACTAGTTCCAATTTAAAAAACAGTTGAGCAAAGAAGTCAATAAAATCAAGTGTTTAATACGGTCAAAGAAGAACCAAACGGGCCTTTGGCACAGAAACCGCTGGGAAACACCAACTCAGTTTGTGTTGAAATGTTAGCAAACACTTGTTGGGGCATCTATTGCACTTTATCTCCACTTTAGATCTGATAAAAGTCAAAGAACAAAGGGATCAACAGGAGCTGGGAACACAACTGATTACCTGACACCTGCTGGTATGAAGGCGACAGATGTCCCCCTCTGTGATCAGAACTAAGAAATGCTTCTCACATCTCAAGAGTCAGAAAAGCGTAGAATGTCTTCTCTAGGTCAGGGACGAGGTCCTGCTCCAGGTGGAGGAGTCTGAGTGTCTCTGGTTCTTGTTCACGAGTGACAGAAAGATGGAGCAGACTGGTGCTGGTTCTGCAGTGATGCGGGTGTTGTATCGTGGTGACAAGGGACACGCTGGAGGGAATGTGTTATTCATCTGGTCAGGGCTGCTGCCCCCACAACCCAACCTCTGATAAGGGGATGAAAACAGGTGGATGGAAAACTGATATTTTTATAGAAAGTCAAAACGAATGTATTTTTGAAGCAGAAAGTCTGTTCTTCAGTCAGCAGCACCTTCTCACAGTTTAAATGAGCCCATTACAGATGCTCTTTTCAGTTGGTGAGAATGAGCTCACGTTACATGAGCGATGAGACCTCGTGGTCCTAGAACAACAAAGATGTTTGGCACTGGAAAGTGTTTAGGTCCACACTAGGCACAGTTCTGTATCGTCTGCATACATGCACAATGAAAGCCATTAAGGAGCGTTTGGCTCAAGCACAAACATGATGTCTCCAGGACTAGAACATGTCTGCAGGTGGGAACACGCTGGTGGACATCTCAACCAATCAAAAACTTTTACAATATTTTTGGGTTTGAAATGATGAAAATGTTCTTGTTGATGTTCAGGGTGAAACCAGAACAGGTTCATAAACAACCAACTGATACAGAGAAGAAAGGTACGGATTCTGTATGGACCAACCACGTTCCCGTTCACAGATCCTGTCCCTCTAGAACGTCCACACAGGTTCACACAGTTTATAAATCCTCAGAAAGTTCATGTCCATCCTAGGAAGTCCTGAGTCCTTCTTGTCTATCTGACATCACTGCTGGTTGTATGAACACTGTGTGTCCGTGTGTGTGTGTGTGTCCGTCCAGTATCTTGTGCGTGTTGGGAGTGGATTTAGGCTCGAGGCTCAAGTTTGTGCGACAGTTCAAAAAGCGTTTGCTGATTGTCGATGATGTGCAGGCAGTGAACGCTCGCCCGCACCTCTGCACTGTCCACCCCAATCACCTCGTGGCCTAGGAGATGGACACAGGTCAAACTCAAATCAAAGAGTCACAAAAACACACATTTAATAAAAACTCTGCAGCCAAGAGAAAAAAAGAAATGAAAGCCAGTCTGGAAACTGTTGCTTAGTAACAGTACAGATTACTTCCGATGCGCCGGCGCATGCACCTAGCTCATAGAGCGAGACCTCGTGTCGGTGCACATATCGTTTAAGAAGTAGTCATGTGACGGCTGCTGTTTCGCCTGCCACTGACGCGCGCAACTGTGTTTAAACAGAGGAGCATCTCCATCTGTCAACGGGATGAGTTTCTGCCAAAAATACACCTTTTGGAGCTAAATTATTCCATTGTTAGATCCCAGAGTCAGAAACAAAATGGAAGGTTTTGTTCTTATATCAGCAAACAAGCTACTCGTTTTCATTTCCTTGTCTTGGTTTCTGCATTCTCCATCAGGATCTTGTTTCTAAATGATTCTTTCTGAATCACTCATACGATTGTCTGCAGGTTAAATGTTGCATTTATTCAACTGGACGTCCAGTTTCATAAAAGCATGTCAAAGACAGGTAGTACGTGACTTCTACTTCACAACAGTTTCACTTTTTCACAAACTGTGACACATATTCACATTATTTATCTTATTGTGCGTTTTAAACGTATCAAAGATATTTTAAACTTGGATTAAGATCTAAACTAATCCTCTCTTCGTCTCCATGTCTGGTTAAATTATGCCAAGTTGGTGAGAAGAACATTTGTAATCCTACATATCTTTTCACACAAAACCGAAAATAACTTTTGCCGCCATTCAGAAATGAGTGCTTTGTTTCTGTAAAGTGGTGGTGAGTAGTTTCCTGCCGCTAGGGGGCAGTACATAAAACATGTCAGGGTGGTTTTACACCACATCTTCCTGACTGTTGCTAGTTTAAAAAACATTACAGTAAATGTTACCCGTGGAGCAGAAAGCATGCAGCCTCGGCGTGACTCCTCAGACTTTGATGGTTCTTCAGGTAATTCCAGTGAGATAATGCAGTTTTCTGCCGCTGTAGTTTCCGGATCTGCTCTGGGGCTTGCACCTGCCGATGACGTCATCATACAACGGCAATACCGCTTGACCAAAATATATTGCATCCCTTTTCAATTCGGTTCTTTCACACATGTTTTGGAAAGAGTTTAGCAGCTTTGTTATTGAATTGGACATTTCATACTACCTAAATGTTTTTGAACGTGGTAACGTAACTTCTGTAAGCCGTACTACGTACAGCCAGTCATCTAGTGTGATGTCATCAACAGGCGCAGAACCTTGAGATGGCCAGAAGGAAACATGGCAACCCCCAAAGACGCTAGACCCGTGCCCTATGTACATTAGACCCCATTTTTATGGTTACATGGCACAAAGCCTCCAATATTTTTCTACAACATTTCGATGGATATTTCCAGAGTGAAGGTAAAAACTACTGAGTGTCTCTTTAAAATTCGACATCATAAATGAAATCTATGGCACATATCAAATAGGATTAGAAAATAACTTTTATAGCCACAGTGACGTGCATTTATGTTTTTCTCATTTCTGGGACCATGATCCAAAAGTTGATGACTAATGGGCCATTCCCATCTGTACCGGGTCGGCCCGGGCCGGGTAGCCCCAGTCGGCCCCAGCCTGGCCCGGTTGATTCCACACATCCTTGTCTTAAGCCCATGTGGGCTGATTCTAGCCACCAGTCAGAGGCTTGCTCTAATGGAAGGTGTGAATTTGCTGTCAGCAGTGGGTGTGTTGGCCCTGGTCGGCCTGAAGCAGACCCCCTCGAGAAGAGGGCTGAGAATGAGCCTTGGTTGGCCCGGAAAAATACCAGGCCACCCAGATATGTAAACAACCTACGCTACCCGGCCCGGGCCGACCCGGTACAGATGGGAATGGCCCATTAGGCCTAATTTAAGTCCCTCAGTCAGCTCGTGTGGGGTCACACGCATTGTTCAATAAAGTTTAGAAAAAAAAAGAGAAGGGTATGGCTGCAGACCCGGAGACCGCAGATTCACTCTCTATTGTTTCTGAGACAGCGCCACCCACTGTTTTATAGCAATCCAAGATTTTTGATGGATGTTTAGAAAAGTGGGCTTGACTCCGTCCGTCCTTGTGAGTCCTTGCAACGACGGATAATGGCGTGTCTCCGTACTGACGCAGATGGAGAAGCATAAATTAGGCTTAAGGCTCCTTACTGCAAAGCAGCAGAAACTTTCCTCTAAAGATTTGATTACAAAGTAGATCCCCACAGACTGGATTGTTTTTTCCTTAGTTAATCTCTCAAAAGTAAACATTTCCCTTATTGAACGGGTCGTGTTCACCAAAGTTATTATTCTTTACACTAAAAACATCCTAAATGCTGCTTAGCATTAGAGTTTCCTGCTAAACACTTGGAAAAGCAGAAAATAAACTTTACATAAAGCTGCATATTACAGTATTAAAGAGAGCAGACAGCACTGTTGGGACACAAGCCTTCTCATGCTTCCACCAGACTAAACTATCTAAAGCCGGGCGTACACTGTGCGACTTTTTCACTCGCAGCGTTCAGCTTCAGCTCAAACTGTACGACTTCCTCGCAGAGCAGATCTCACAAGTCATGTGCTCACACTGCACGACCCAGTTCTCGCATGCGACCTGACTGCTCACACTGTACGTCTGGTAGCAACACATCGGCCCTAAAAATGTGCTAAAAATAGCAGTTTTTACTCAACACGTCAGACTTTTTTGTCTTGCCTGTTGTCCTTCGGGAGTGCTGCAGGAGGACACACAGGGATTTATGGGGGTTGGATGAGGAAAACGAAATAAAGAAAGTGAATCTGTGTTTTGTGATCAGTTTAATTTGACATGAACACGACAAACACGCTTTCTTGACAATCTTTGTGAGTAAAAAAACGCGTAGAAACAAAAGCGAACAGCGTGTGTTATTAGGGAAATAGCGAGCGACCGGCCGGCGTTGATGCAGGATTGCGCATGCGCCGTGAGCGGTTCTGATACTTTTTGGATCGTAGCTGCTCGCAGCTGCTCGCAGCGCCGCTTCAACAGTGCGATACCCTCACGAGGGACGAGCGAAATATTAAACACACCAGAAGTCCCTGCGACCTCACGACTGCTGATCGGCGGCTGGTCAGGTGGTGTTAATCGCCTCTCGTAACCCCCTGTACACTACACGACCGCTCGGCGCAAACCTCGCCCCGATGTCGTGGCTTCTCGCACGACTGGAAAATCAGCTCAAAAAAGTGAAAAAGTCGCACAGTGTACGCCCGGCTTAAAGCACAGACGTGTGGACTCAGAGGGCTGACACCGATTGCTGATGCCCAGTTTGGCTCAAATGAATAAAAAAATGAACACAATATAAAGTTTTTCTATTTCAGATTAAAAACAGTTTCTCTAGAAATAGCAGAACAGCCACTTGGATGATCTGTTGTTGCTGGCAGGAGTTGGACCTTCGCCATGAGGAGTTCAGGCTAATGTCTGAGTGTCTAACAGGCTGGTCAGGGCTAGAAGACTCACCTGGCTGCTCGCTTTGGCAGTGGCGAATCATTCTCACCGTGTCTGCAATCATGCGCTGTAGAACAGGAAGAAAACATGTCAGAGCGAACGTCATAATCTCATCCTTCACATTTGATTAGATTTTTGGGTTAGTCACACTTCTACAGCGGCCATATAACTCTACAAGCATGAAGACCTTTTAGACAGCAGATAAGTGACTCCACTCACCAGCTTCTCAAAGTTGACCAGGTTATCATGGAAGGTTTTATTTCCCTCGTGGATAAAGGTGATGTCTAACAGCAAACAGACATATTAAGGTGTGTTTAGCACGTGTTTGTATGAATGTGGAGGATTTAGATGGTACCTTTTAGCAGGAGAGGCATGAAAGGAATCTTGGGAGGCTTCATCCTCTTGAAAGCCTCTCTGTAGGCTTTATGGTTCATAGATGGATCCTGGAAACATAAAGGATCCATAAATTAATGTTTAATAAATAAGGAGGAATTTCATTGGGGAAAAAAACTATTTCAGTCTCACGGTGATGAGCTCCAGCTCTGAGAACAGCTTCTTAAACTTCCCTGGACATTTCTGAAAAGGAAGAAGTTAGGTCAGAGGTGGATGTTTGGTAAACAGAAGTTTAAAAACACAGCGATCCTCCTCACCTCCCACGTCTGGTTGAGTCGACTGACGGCGGCTGTGTTAAGACCCATGATGATGGCAAACGCAGAGTGCAGATTTCTTTGGGCTTTACAGCTAAACCAACCAAACACACAGAATCACGACCCTGTTCTTCAGGATTTGGTTCCTGCCATCATGCTTGTTGAACTTACTGAGCTGCGATCTTGATGAACTTCTTCAGCAGCTGGACTCTCTTATTGAGGGAAACACACATGAGAACCTCAGACATGACCCACTGCTGGACCTCGTTGCAACGCTGAAGGAGAACCGAAAGCGCTGCAGTGTAACCGGCACCTGGAGCTCGGCTCAGAGTGTAGTACACCAGCTCCTGCTGCTCAAGGAATCAGAAACACAGATTCAGTTTAGGGCTCTAGACCCACTGGCTACTCTGCTCACCCGGCAGACTCTGTCTGTATTACAAATCTGTGTGTCTGTGTGTACCTCATGAATGGATTTGAAGAGGCTCCAGTCCAGGTGTGTGAGCGCTGCTGCTACATCCCAGGTGTTGATGCCTAAGAGTCGAACTGGCCTCCTGCTCAACTCACAACAGTCTATCAGAGGAGGCTGCAGACAGAAAAAACAAACGAGTTCAAAAGTGCACCAAATCTCATTCCCCCCCCACATATGACCCATACCTGATTTGTGACAGTCTAGGGTTGTCACGGTAACCGGTGTAGCGGTAAACCCCGGTAAAAAAAGTTGACACTAATAACCGTCTTGTTTATAAAAAACTATATTATCTCGGTGGGATTACCGTGGCTGCGGTGTAGGCGCGGTGACCCTTACCAGCCACCGTATCATCTGCTGAAGTTGCCGGCGGCACATGCGCACTTTGTTGTTTACAACCAAAACTTTCTTGAAGCTAAAGATGAAATAATGGCAAAAGGAGGAGACGGCAGTGTTCAGGAGGACATTTATTATCCCTCAAAAAAGACAAAGAGGGAAGTACGGGCATCTTTTGGATATTTGAAGAATGCAGAGGGACAGCTGATAGAAGACAGCTATCCTGTTTGCAGCACGTGCAGAAAAAGTGTCTGTGAAAGGCAGCAACGCTTCAAATCTCATGACACATCTGCGTGACCATCACCCACAACTCTACAGTCAACGCAAGGCAAGCTAACGTTAGCATTTTAGCTAAAATGCGTGATCCGAGGATTTGGGTTGAGGGAGAATGCAACGAGTCTCTATATAAAGCAGCCGCAGCGCCGCTACCTGCATAGAAACCGTGTCGCGGACACCCCCATGTTGAAATGACGCTATGCATTACGGGGCTCCCAGGGGCAGATAAGAGTTGGTCTCTCTCCGAGAATAATTATGAATTTAACAATGATTACTGCCTGATGACATTTTCCCACATCTGCAAAGCTCACTGGAAGGACACAAACCGAGGATAATATCTTCCTGATATGCAGGGTTTATTACTCAAGTAAGGGTAAAAAAGTATCTGATTAGAAGGCTACTTGAGTACTGAGTATCATCTGATCTAATATTTTTAAATGATGACATCAAACAGACTTAAAATAAGAAGTTATGGCCAAATATTGGTATTTTAAAGACTAAAGGGGAAAAATGTAAACAAATAAACAACATAATTACAAAATAACACATTTTAGGCTAAATTAGACACAAACTGAGGACAATATTTCCTGACATACAGGGTTTATTTAATTGTGTGAAAATGTAGCACGTTTAAAAAAAATACCGCGATAATACCGAAAACCGTGGTAATTTTGGTCACAATAGCCGTGAGGTTAAATTTTCACACCGTGACAACCCTATGACAGTCTGAACAGCACAGACCTGATTCTTTTCAGATCTGATCTAGGTCACTTTCATATGTGGTTCTGAATCTAAATATCAGTCTAAACGATCATGCCGCATCAAATCCGCCTCCTACGTCACTGACTCAGCAGAGGTGTGCGTTTTGTGATGAACAGCGCTGACGGAAGGATTCAGAGGTCTGCCTGGATATCCTGTCCAGTTTTGGAAAAAAAAAATGGGGGGGGGGGGGGGGGGGGGTCGTACTGCTGGAGCAAAGTACCTCTCCAGTCTCTGTGGGGGGTGGAGTTTCTCCATTAATGAAATTAATACTAAATACGAGAAGCCAAAACAGGAGACTTCACAGGTGTGATCCAGAAATTGTGGATGAACTCTCAGTGAAGGTTTTCACATCACAACTTCACCTCTACTGGTTCTGACTCTACAAAGCGTGTCGCGTGGACTTCCTGTTGTCTTCTGCACATGCGGACCTCTTTAGGGCCGTGAACTCTTCATGCTGAAGAGTGTTTGCTGTTGTATTTCAGTTATAATGTGAGCGACCACACAAAAAAATCAGATTTAATAAAAAACTGGAATTGAGCGTTAAGACTATGGAACTAGGATTGGGACAATATTACATGTAACTTGTACAAAGTTTTGTAACTTGTGACATGTTTTGTAACTGTAACTTTCATTTTGTAACACGTAACTTTCGTTTTGTAGCATGTAATTCTCATTTTGTAACATGAAACTTTTATTTTGTAACTTGCAGAAAAAAATCAATGTACAAGTTTCAAATCACAACTTTCAAAACACACATCTCAGGCTACAGTTACAAAAACTCAAGTCTACAAGTATGAAACATTTTGTCCCAATTCTAGCTCGCTTCCAACAGGAATAGTCTTTGACAAGAATACAAGACTCATGATTGGCTGGTCAGATAAAGCCCGTCATTGGTTCTTTGGAAAAGAAGCTAAAATTGGGACAAACTATTTAGTACTTGTAGACTTAAGTTTTGTAACTGTAGACTGAGATGTGTGTTTTGAGCGTTGTGATTTGAAACTTGTACATTGATTGTTTTCTGCAAGTTACAAAATGAAAGTTACGTGTTACAAAACATGTTACAGGTTACAAAGCTTGGTACGAGTTACATGTAACATTGTCCCAATCCTAGCTCTATATAAGACCTGCAGTGTGAACGTCTCTGTTTTTATAGAAATTCCAAGAAAGCTAAAAGAATCCAGTGAAAGTTCCTCCATCTAAGCTCAGACGAGAAGTTTTTTCATACCTGATGATTTTTGTAAACAGCCTGTATTATGTATATGATTCTCCACCCGAGGCCGATTCGATCCGTATCTCGATACGCTGCCAGCGATACGATACATTAATGATACAGTGAAACCCTCTGCTGATGCGATTTGAAACGATTCATCACGTTACAAAGAAATCACAAGCCCACATCCGGTCTTTAAACATCATAATTCTTTTCCCCTCTCTTCCTCTGTGAAGGATGTATTTGATCCTCTATAGTTTTCAATTGATCAATAAATACAAGATGAAAAAAATAAATGCACTTCTTCTGTGAAATTTACATATTATACATACAGTCACTCTGCTCAGAAAAATAAACCAAAACAATCAGAAAAGTATTAGAGTTCATCATATTTATAATCATTAGGAATTATTATGAAACACTGTAAACATCTGAGCATGAGGGGCTATCGTGAGAGCTGCTGAAGCCCAATGTTAATTTCCTTTAGGAGAAACGTGAATGCTGCAGATGCAGGGAGATGTGAGTTCATCTCAGGTGTTTATTGAACTTCTCTGAACCACCGTCACGGGCAAAACGTCGTTCTGTCTGGAGTTTTTAGTTCTGCTCAAATGTTACAATAAGGGATTATCTTAAACTACCTCACACAAAGCTTCAGGTGCGCAGATCAATAAGAACGATCGGAAAACCATGGTTTTTACCGACAAGAGGATCGCATGGAACGATAAATTATGACACAGCCGTCGGCGGGATCCGATGCACACATAAGCTACCCATGCAGTCGCATCGCTAACGCCCTGAACGAATCACCGGTTCAGATCGGTGAATCTGTCCATCTCTACTTCTGAGAGTTCTACAACCCCCCAAAGCGCTTCACAACACAATCAGTCATTCACACGTTGGTGGGGATGAGCTATGATGTAGCCACAGCTGCCCAGGGGCGCACTGATAGAGGCAAGACTGCCGAGCACAGGCGCCCCCGGTCCCTCTGACCACCACCAGCAGGCAAGGCGGGTTCAGTGTCTTGCCCAAGGACACAACAGCAGTATTCTCTGGTGGAAGCCAGGATTGAACCTGCAACCTTCAGATTACTGGACAACCCGCTCTATCTCCTGAGCTACTGCTGACCCTTTTCTTTGTATTTCTGTGGCAACTGGCACAAAGTCAGGTTACAAACTTCCATCCATCCATTTTTTTACCCGCTTTCCCAAGCAGGGTCGCCGAGGGCTGGTGCCCATCTCCAGCAGTCTGGACACACAAACCCTGGACAAGGTGCCAGTCCATCACAGGGCAACACAGAGACTCACAGGACAAACAGCCAAGCACACACACACACACACCTAAGGATATTTTACAGACCAATCAACCTGACAGGTGTGTTTAGACAGTGGAAGGAAGCCGGGGTACCCGGAGAGAACCCACTCGTGCACAGGAAGAACACGCCAACTCCATGCAGAAAGATCCCAGGTCGAGATGTGAACCAAGGACCTTCTTGCTGCAAGGCAACAGCGCTAACCACTGCACCAGTGTGCAGCCCAGGTTACAACTTTCCCAAAATAGAATGTATATACAGACTTCCTGAAGAGACTGAATTTAAGAAATTTTAGGTAAATTTGTTGTGTAAATAATATATTTTACTGTTAATCATTCATCTGCAACCTCGGCCTTAGACTCTTAACAGCTGAAACTATAATTCTTCAGTTTGTTTATAATCTTGCTTGTAAAACCTACAATAATCTGCTGTTGTTTTAAAGCCTCTGCTTCCAAACAGGAAGATCTGACGCTGCCGTCCAGCAAAGTGGATTTTTACATACCAGGATCTCTGTGAGGTCTCTGTGACAGGCTGCAAGCCTTCCCTGTGGGGTCAGAGACTCTGAATACACACAGTCACTGGGCTGCAGTACTCGACGCTCTGCAGGGAAGAGTAGGAGAGGAGAAAGGATGAGGAGAACGAGACATCTGAGGGCAACTTGATGCTTACTGATCTAATTATCAAGTTATTGTGAATAACAACAAAGGAGAGCCGAGTGTGTTTATCGTCCTGTGTTGGTGTACCTCCGGTGTGTGACACCACAGCTAGCACCATGTCCTCCTCTGCTCTGTCCAGCTTCAGGCTCACAATCCGCTGCAGCTCGTGGGCCTCCAGTGCAGGATGAGTGTGGACACTTAGGTAGGAGTCCACACTCACGTACACACAACAAATCACTGACAAATACCCCAAAATAATCACTGTTAGTGACAAAAAAAAATCACACTAGAAAAACCCAAACTTAAGCAGGTGTTTGGAGATGGAGCACCTCCACCATGATGGTTCCTACCTTCTCTGGTATCTGCTGGTGGAATACGATGCTGTAAACTGTTTTCCTTTAAACTCAGCTGCTGACACAGTTGTTTACTCTGACAGAGAAGAACCAGTTAAATGATCCTGTAAGGGCTGAGAGCATGTACGCAGCATCAATATAACTGAGCTCTGAAAACCTGACTTACCTTTTGGTGTGGAGGACAGTCATCCACCGTGCTGCAATACAAGAGCACACAACCATCAGGAGGAATGCAGCCACACAGTTAGAAATCTATCAAAAATCCTATTTAACTCAAAAACTGCTTACTGTCTGCGGCGCAGATGTTTCTGTAACTCTTTCAAGTCCTTTTCCAGAGTAGGAAACTCGTACAGATCTTCTAAAACACACCTGTAAAGTGTCTGAAATGCAGAGATGACACCATGAAGCACTTGTTCAGATAGCTGAGCATGCAGGTGTGAGACAGTTACTCCTGTCTGGGTGCACGAACAGGCTAACGATGGAATGGGTCAAGCATGGAACAAACATACCAGCTCAGTGGACTAGTGGTAGTGTCCACCCTGGGAGATCAGGGTTCAAATCCCGACTGGGTCATAACAAAGACTTTAAAAATGGGACCCAATGCATCCCAGCTTGATGCTCAGCTTTAAGGGGTTGGGTTTGGGGGTTTAAAGAGAAACTTGCTTTAGAGAAACATAATAGAAACTCGTTTTAAACATTTTTTTTACACATACATAACTTATTTATGCTTTTAGAGTCATTTTTCTGAACTTCTTTTTTTTTTTGCCAAACCAAGTGACGTTAGCTGAGGGAGTCCTGTTAGCTTAATCCAGAGAAAAATATGGATTCTAATGCGGCTCCGACGCAGAGTAAACTTTAAATGTTTATAATTCTACTTCTGATTGACCAGAACCATAAAGTTATGAGTTTGCTGCACGCCCCTGAGAGCAGAGACAAACCAGAGGGAGAAACCATCGGCCAAAGCAGAGAGATTGTGCTGCGATGTGAGGAGAAGCAGCGGGGGAGCAGCTTGTGAGTTAACGATGCTAGCTTAAACTCGTGTGCTAACATCACAATATTGTACAGATTACTATCGTGTACCAGACATTTAAAATAGCATCGGTCAGTTAATGTAATATTAATACTAATGAGTGTCGGTCAGCTGTCTCATACTCGTTAATATCCATTCACCTAACGTAGTTTAGCGCTAAGAGAGAGAGAGGGAGAGAGGCTCCTGTCATCCGGTTCTGGAGCTCATGCAGGCTTTTGTGAGCTGGATCCGACACAGACACCAGCGAGCCAGTCCAGCTGGTATTTTAAAAAGCTGCATACAATCCTCTCCTGGTCGTCCGCAGTGATTCTGATCTGATTCCGACCCGTTGAGCCATGCGTCTCTTCTGGTGGTCGGTTCTGACGGTGATCTAAGCTCCAGAAATCCACATTTAATTTTTTGAACCCTGCCATAGGTCCCCGGAGCCCAGCGCGGACCTCCCTGACCCGGTACCGACCAATGTGGGCTACAGAAGTCCGTCTTTTCAGCTGCACAAAACATCCTCAGACACGGAGATAAAGGCATTGTTTCTCTTATCTGGAAACCCGTGGACTCAATGTCCAGAGAGGCTGGAGTTAGTACAGCCTTCACACACTATAGTTTATCAACATGAACACAATCCAACACTAGTAAACACACACACTGACTGGATAACATGACCTCTCTCCCCTAAAACTAGCCACTCTCCACACTGAGCTGAGGCAGCGCCGAGCTTCTAACTCCCTTTGGTTACGTCAGAGGTTCAGATTTAGAACAAAGAGCCTTTTTAGAAGCTTTGCTGAGAAAGGCCACTTTTTACTATAAAACTCTGCTGTTATGTATGTTATAACTAAATATCCACAACAAGCATTTCAAATTGTATTTTTGGACAGCATTTTATATGAATTAGAGAAAAAATTGAACCTGTAATTTGCTCTTTAAACCACCAAATGGTTCCCCAAGGGGATGGGTCAAATACGGAGGACTTTAACTTCTCAGAGCTGAGTAACAGAAGTCGGTTTGGGGAATAAAAAGTGATTCTGCTGCAGGCTTCCAGAAATGCGTAATCAGCTGATTAATTCATGTCTACAAGATTTTTGGAGTTTTTAGAAAACAAATTGAAATAAAAAATAAAAAAAACTCAGCTACACAGAATGCAGATGGTTCTGAGAGAAGTGTAACACATTCCCTATAGTGTGTGTGTGTGTGTGTGGTGGAGAACTAATAACCTGCATAAAAAATCTAAAGGTCAAAACAATGAGAAGTTGTGAGCAAACACACACACACACACACACACACACACACACACACACATCTTTATCAATGTCACCACTGACCCAAACATCCTCAAAATTCCAATTCCTCCTCATGCTTCTGTTACTAGGCAACCATCACCAGGGTAATGCACTCCATTTAAGATTATACCCTCGCCAACTCTAACCACATTGGTTTCCATGGCAACTGCACCAGAGCTGTTGGGTTATGAAAGTGACTGGTGTGTGTGTTCACTTGGTGAGTTTGGATCTGATCACATTTTCTGTCCAGATGAATTCACAGAATCATGTAACAATAACAGGAACATGGAGAACGTCACTTCCTGGTTCTGTTCAGATTCAAACATGAGGCTCTCCTGCAGGAGGATGATAAAGCTCATCCCATGTGGTTCAAGACACACACACACACACACACACGCACTCACGCACGCACGCACGCACGCACGCACACACACACACACACACACACACACACACACACACACACACACACACACACACACACACACACACACACACACACACACACACACACACACACACACACACACACACACACACACACACACACACACACACACACACACACACACACACACACACACAGAGATGAGATCATTAAAGTGACAAATACCTTCATGAAACTCCTCACATCCTCCTCCTCCTTCAGGAAGTCCTTATAAAGCCGGCTCCAATGAGAGACTAGCCGCAGTACTTTGCGCTTCCTGAAGAGGGCATCTTTGCCCTCCTCTTGGCCCCTGCAGCGAGCGCTGCTATAGGTGGTGGTGGTCAAGGAGACAACAAAGACTATGTGGAGACTGAAAGGACATGTGACAATGCAGGCATGTGTAAGGATATTGTCCCAGCAGCGCCTGGCAGAGGTCATGAGTGGACATGAAGACCAGGTAGGTCAACAGGAAGTCATCCAGCAGCATTTCTGAGACACACACACACACACACACACACGCACGCGCGCACACACACACACACACACACACACACAATAGGTAACTCCAGTGATCATCTGATACCTGATGGGAAAAATCACTACACTTCTACAACAACACAAAAATCTATGACACATTTTATGTTAACCCAACATCTGTGGGAGGAAACTGGAGAATACCCAGACACACATGGAAAGTGTTTTCTACCTTAGCCAGGATTCAAACTGGCAACCTTCTCACAGTGATGCAACTGTGCTGCCATCTGCCAGCATGCAGCTTGTTTAGGGCCAGGTAATCCAACTGCCGGGTAAAGATTGTGTCTCAAGTCTCATTCTACATCGTTTCACTCCTTTTTGTTGCACGCGCCGACTCAGAAACTACACTGAAACTCTAAAGAGAAGATTTTGAGACTGGTTCCAGACATGTGCATTGAGTCGGTGACCATTCCTAAACCAAAGTCTTCTCTGGAATTTTTCTGTGGGACTGTTTGTCATTAGGTCCCAGGAACTACAACATCACGTTTCCAACAACAGCTATGCAGTTCCAGTTAATCGGATTACTGGTTCATCTCTTTCCTGGGCCCTTATCCGCTTCCTCATCAAGGTTTCGTTGGTATGCTACAAGCAAATGTTGTGCACGTTCAGGTTAGTTACTAATCTCTGCAGAGTCAGGCCTTAAACAGGTGTGTGTGTGTGTGTGTGTGTGTGTGTGTGTGTGTGTGTGTGTGTGTGTGTGTGTGTGTGTGTGTGCATAAAATGCATATATATACACATACATGTGTGCACAGGCCGGTGAGTGAACATTTCATCCACCGTCTCCACTTCACAGATAAAACCACCACTTTCCTCAGAGCTATTTTTAGAAACATCTGATCTAACTTGTGACTTACCTCATAGTCACCTTCTGTCCTCTGAGACTTTGTATAAAAGTTAATGCTAAAAGAAATGCTCTGTCTTGACCTTTTAACTTCCATCTCTCTCATCCCAGCATCCCTCTCCCTCCTCCCTGAATCCCGTTTTCCATTTGCTCCTTCTTGACGATTACTTTTCCTCCCACTGCTTCTCTCCTCCTACGCTCGCTCCCTCAGCTCTGTGTGATGATAAATATCCATTTTCATCTTCAACATATACCCCCTGCGCTTGCCCGCTGGCACAGACAAAGTCAAACACACACACACCACCCTAATGAATAACTCATTCAGTTTGACCTTGGGGGTTTATCTCTTGTGATAAAGAAAAAAAAGGAGAGAAAATGTCTGTGCTGAACTAATCGCAGTAATCTGCAGCTCCTGTGGTGTGTGTGTGTGTGTGTGTGTGTGTGTGTGTGTGTGTGTGTGTTATGTGTTTGTGGCAACAGGGTGTTGGGGTAATTGCTCCGTCTCTTCATGGTAGCATGTTAGAGCCTGTTCAACATGCTGCACGGCTAAGCCCATTAAACGGCACACTGACGCTTGGTACCACCCCGGGGAACCTTCACACACCCTTACACACACACACACGCTCACACGCACACACACACACACACACACACACACACACACACACACACACACACACACACACACACACACACACACACACACACACACACACACACACACACACACACACACACACACACACACACACACACACACACAAACTTCTTAAGAATACACAAAAACGATGGAGACATTCACAGATGCTACATCAGCAGCAGCCAAACAGAAGCTCTGACTCTGCATCCATCCTCCTGCCTCCCTATTTCCTCACTGCTTTAACTCTCCTAAATATCAGGCAGACTTCCTTGACAAAGCCCATCTCAGTTCTCTCCCACATTTATCTCTCCCCCATTCTTCCTTTGCTTCCTGCAATTCAGAGAGATGGCTCCCTGTGGACCTCTGGGAGCGGGTGGTGCTGAGGCTGGAGCTGGTGCATAAAGGTGCCTTGTCTTTAAAAAATGGTGCTGAGAGGCAGGAGCAGAGGTTTTTAAGAGCCCAGCTGTCCCAGAGACACAAAAACACAATCTACAGAAACTTCAGCTTCATTCAGATGTCAGTGTTGACTTTATTTTAAATCAACTGACACAAAAGGACAGAATTTGCATTTCTCTCCTGAATTGTGAAAATAAATTCTGTCATTCTTGCAGAAAAAAAGTGACTTCACGTGTTTTCAGTCGAGCTCATGTATTTAACGGACTGGTATAAAACAAGAGACAGCTACACAGAAAACTGCCCAAGGAATAAGCCACAGGTGTCGTGACAACCAGAGAAAAGCTGTGAGCTCCCAGAGGCAGTCGCAGCTTTCAACCACCAAAATGCTCCTCATATCTAAAGGCAATGATACGGCTGAGTAACCACACACACACACACACACACACACACACACACACACACACACACACACACACACACACACACACACACACACACACACACACACACACACACACACACACACACACACACACACACACACACACACACACACACACCTCAAGTAAAAACGAAACCTGGACCTTGTTCCAACTTGACGAGATAATTCCTCAGCAGCAGAGCAGCATGTTTAGCTGGTGTGTGATCGCTGCTGTTGGGTCATCTGTCACGAAGCCTTCAGTTGCTTCATGCTAATGACTAAAATGTTGTTTATGCGAGTGTGTCTTAAACTCACCGCTCTCTCTGTTCTCTGGAGTTCCTCTTTGGTCATCCAGCCGTAGATCACTGAGGAGATGCTCCAAGATCTTGAGCGGCGTTCCCGACACCACTACATACCTGTAAGATGAAGAATTGCAACAGTCTTCCTCAGGGGGGTGAGCACACCAGGAGTATTCACCACCTTCTCTCCATGTGCTGTCCCTCTCTTCCTCTTTCACGTCATCATCATCATCGATGAAGGGAAAATGGGGGACATCAAACGTACACGTGTCTAGATCAGTGCAGTCTGCACAGTCTTCCTCACTATCGTCTTCCTCATCATCATCATCTACAACCTCTTCTGCTTCTGCAAGAGTAGCTAGCTCAGAGGTCATCTTCATGTCTGATCACATTGCTAAGTTCCTCGTTGCCAGGAAAGGAGATCCTCCACTGCCTCCCTCGCTGAGATTCTACAGTGACCCTGCTTACTCTGAGTCGTACAAACACACACACACACACACACACACACACACACACACACACACACACACACACACACACACACACACACACACACACACACACAAAACCTGCCTGTCACGACACACCCTCTTTGTGCCTCCGGTGCTGGCAGACATTACACAATGAGATCAACTTTGACTGCAGTAAATAACTCTGAACACACAGAGGGTGTTGAAAAAGTCCTGGTGTCATCTTTTCATCCATTCAGCTGAAAACAAGAAGCCATTACCTCCTTCCTGTTCTCTGCCTAAAACAGACATTATCCAAGTCTCAAACCAGCACTTTGTCAACACAACACTGACACCAGATATTCATGAATCCAGAGCTGCAACTTGAGATCTCAAAGTGAAACAGAAAAGGAGGAGGGAAGCTGTAATTATGTTGTTGTTGTTCCTATCCATCACTATGGAAGGCCTTTAATGTGTAGGGAAGTAAACCGACCTCTTATTGCAGTCCTCCTCTCTGGACCCGCCCCCCAACGACGTAGGCGAGAGCCGGTCTGACGACGGTGTCACTGACGATGTTACCCTCTGCAACACCAATACGTCTCTCCCCCTCTCCTTCAGACAAACCCTCCCCAACGCCTCCTGAGAGGGAGAGAAAAAGAGACGTGTCACAAGTGAAGCAAGGACAAACCCAGCAGAAGCCCGTTAACATGAATGTTTCATTCCTGCCAGAAGAAACCAAACCAAAAAACCTCTACCAGGGTCAGGCTTCATGTTTGCTTTCATTTCTTAATTTTTACAGGCGTATTTACACAATATTCAAAACCTGACGGTTACATCTTCTGTCCACCAGAGAGCACTAAAAACTCCATTACTAACTACAAAATCTGTTAATAAATGTTTCTGTGCTTATTTAAGAATTGTAATCACATGTTCTACAACCAAGTTTTTTTCCCTGACCAATCAAAATCCCTCTTTAAAAAACCTGCTGCAGCTTGATGTAACCCAGAAGCTAGAACCTTAATGAGGTATTAACTAATTGGCTTACTAATATGATCCATCCTCAATTTAGATAAAATATAAAATATAAATTAAGGAAATTAACAATACTAATTAATAGATATCTAATTAACTAATAGATAATTTCATAATGAATTATTGGAAGGGTGAATAACTAAAATAACGAGTTTAATATTAAACATCGGTTAAAACAAGAATCTTGAACATCACTAACAGAAACAGAAGAGGAAAGCTGTATACTATTGGTCCAGGTGGGAATCTGAAATTTCATTGGCTGAGAGAAATAAGTCCCGCCTCCGCGAAATAAAACCGTGCGACGCAGCTGAGCGAGAGGAGAGACAAACGGCTGTGCAGCACGCAGATACAGAAAGCAAAGACTGAGCGGTTAGAGAGAGAGAGAGAGAGAAAAAAAAACAACGGTCGAGGCCGTGAAGAACCCTGATTTGGGTGCCGCATAGATAGAGGGAGAGGCGGACTTGACTCCTTCTAATAAGAGCTAGGAACTTGGAACCAACGCGATTTGTGTGGAGACGACAGAGTGAACCAATCCTCTGTAGGAGGGAACCGTTGGAGCGCGTTGGCTGTTTTTTTTTTTTCCTTGGGTTTGATCCCGACTCCTATGATCACTCACTTGGAACGAGAACTGGATTTCTTCCTGACGAGGGAGATGGCGAGCCTTAACCACTGAACGAACCAGGACATCTCAAGTAACTGAAGAGCAGACTGCTCTCTTCTGTGAACAATCTCAACGGTGCGGTAGGAAAAAATCGCACCACCGGACTCTGACTTTCACCCCAAGCGTGGGGATTTGACTTGACGCCGGCTGACTTGTGACTCATATGATCAAATCTCATACCGAGCATTTTACTATTGTCGATTGTTTTCATCTGTTTTTGTGTGTTATCTTTATGTGTTATATTTCCCATTATTATTAAAATTTAGTATATAAACCGTTTCATGCTATACCCGTGACTCCAGTCATTCTTAAACAACCTCCAATTCTCCCCGAACCTAATTATTGGCCCATTTGTTTATTTTTTCTTTTAATTATCTTATTGTATCCTGTAATCCGGTTACATAAAACTTGGCGAGCCAGCCAGGAGAATTGTAGAGTTGTTACCTTAGCTAACCATTGACTGACATCATAAGAGTGCCTGGAGGTCACAGTGGTTTGCCATTTTGGCATTATTGGTACTTTTGAGTGTTTTAAAATGGAAGTTGTGAAAACAGAAAAGGTCAAAGTTTCAAATGCTGTTTTAATCAGTGGGTTAACTGATACAGACCTTGATAACGAAGTCTTTGGGTTTATGGAAGGATTCGGACCAGTTAACAGGCGCATTAAGTTACCAAACTGTGATCAGATTATTGTGGAGTTTCAACATGAAGCCACTGTTAAGGAATTAAAGAAACAATGTTTACCCTATGACAAACCTTGTACTAGGAACCCAGATGTTTTCTTCCATATTCAAGACCTAGCCAGCGCGTACAGTCTAGAAACTAGCACATCTGCCACTGATGCCTATCTGTCAGAGCTCAGGGACATAGCTGCGCGTAGCAATCAATCATTTAAAGACCTTCTAATGGAGGAACTGGCAAAAATTGGGGAATCTTTAGGAAGGGATACCCATGCATCTGAACCAGTCACTGAACCAGAGCCAATGCTCCATAGTGACCAAGTTACATATTCCCTGCCTTTAACACCAGAAGTTAACTATATGAACAACTCAAAGGACAATTGTCCACCTACAGAGACTGGAAAACAAAACCCTTGCATTCCACCAAATCTTTTAAACACACCTGAGGTTCAGCGAGTTATTGTGGAACACATTGTTAAAAGCAGTGAGGTTATCCCTCCGCCTACTTCACAATACAGACTAAAACCGTTCTCAGGGCGAGTTCCACACCCTTCTTTTGAAACTGACTATGATACTTGGCGTAGTAGTGTAGTGTTATGCATAAATGATCCTTCACTCACCAAGTCCCAAATTGTACGAAGAATCGTGGAGAGTCTGTCAGCCCCAGCAGCGAGCATCGTTAAAGCTCTTAGTCCAAAATCCGACCCGGAAACGTACCTTGAACATCTCGATTCAGCTTACGCAGCTGTCGAAGACGGCGACGAGCTCTTTGCTCGCTTCTTAAACACAAACCAGGACAGTGGTGAAAAACCTTCCGATTACTTTCAGAGGTTATACACCTTGTTAAATCTAGTTATTCAGAGGAATGGAATTTCCTCCAGTGACGCCGACCAGCAGCTGCTCAAGCAGTTTTGCAGAGGCTGTTGGGACAGCTCGCTGATTTCAAACCTGCAACTCGAACAAAAGAAAGACAACCCGCCTCATTTTACAGCACTTCTCCTCAAACTGCGCACTGAAGAAGACAAACAGGCTACTAAAGCAGCACGCATGAAACAACACTTAGGGGCACAACGAACTAGAGTGTATTCAAATGTGCAAACAACATGCTCTCAGAGTAAAAACACTTGTGAACTGGAAATAGATGATAACTGTGATGACTTACGCAAACAAATCGCTGAGCTCAGGAGCCAAATTGCACAGCTTAAGGTTAACAACACAGATAAAAAGGCAAAGAAAACTCAAAAAGAGTCAAAACCCCGTGTGGGGACTAAAATTCCAGATGAGCCCAAACAGATTCAGCAGATAACAGCAGTGGTGCCCAGACCAAAGCCTGGATACTGTTTTAAGTGCGGAGAAGATGGGCACATAGCTTCTAGCTGTAGCAACGAGCCAAATCCAGCACTAGTTGCAACTAAAAGACTTGCTCTTAGACAGAAGCAGCGCGAGTGGGAGATGTCAAAGCCAATTGCTCAGTCTCCTCCTTTAAACCGGTAGAAGCTCCTATCGTGGGACAGATAGGTGCTAAAGTAGAACCAAGTCCCTCTAAGGAAAGGACAGAGAGACTTTTTTGCAAGCCAGTTCATGCTCATTCAGTGCCAAAACTTCCCAAAAGATTAGTGGGTGGGCGATGCACAGCTACAGTCTCAGTTAACAGTGTTGAATGTAATTGTTTACTGGATTCAGGGTCCCAGGTAACCACCATTGCCAATTCTTTTTACCAAGAACACTTACCTGACCTCTCAATTAAACCCATCAGTAATCTGTTAGAAGTCGAGGGCGCAAACGGTCAAGCAGTTCCTTATTTAGGATACATAGAGATAAGTGTCACATTTCCAAAAGAGCTCGATCAGTCTGGACTTGAGTTACCTACCCTTGCGTTAGTGGTTCCGGATATAAGCTCAAACTCTGATACACCACTACTCATTGGCACAAACACACTCGATCCTTTGTATGAGCAATTGTCTGCCAATAACTTACCTGATTCCAAGGCACTCTCTTATGGGTACCAACACGTGCTAAAAGCCTTAGCAGTCAGAAAAAAACAAAGCAAAGATGGACGAGTTGGTGTGGTGAAGCTTCGAGGGAGAACCCAAGAAGTTCTCCCTGCAAATAAAAAACTGTTACTAGAAGGGTTTATGCAACCCAGCCAAAACAAGCATGAGCCTTATGCACTCATTGAACAACCCACCAATGGTTCTCTACCAGGGGGTATAATTGTAGACTGTTGCCTCATTTCCTTACCTTCACATGGTCCATACAAAGTACCTGTTGTACTAAGAAACGAAACTAACCATGACATCACATTACCCACTAACTGTGTGATCGCTGAGTTAGTTAAAGCCGATCGTGTTATGCCATATCCAGAACCTGACAAAAGTGATCAGAAAGTACTTGCGGCGTGTAGTTCGCAGCAACAGACTTCACCTTCAAACCCTCCTCTCAGTTTTGACTTCGGTACTTCGCCCTTGTCCGAAGAATGGAAAGGGAGGATCACCAACAAACTTAACACTTACTCCGATGTGTTTTCGCACCACGATCTTGATTTTGGTCATACACAACAGATAAGACATCACATCAACTTAAAAGACGAGACCCCATTCAAACAGAAATCTCGGCCGATCCATCCACATGATTATGAAGCCGTGAGAAAACATTTGGAAGCCCTCTTGGAAACCGGTATAATAAGAGAGTCGGAGTCTCCATTTGCCTCACCAATAGTGGTAGTTCGGAAAAAGAATGGTGAGGTACGTCTATGTATAGACTATAGAAAGCTTAATCTGCAAACCATTCGCGACGCATATGCCCTGCCTAACTTGGAGGAGTCCTTTTCTGCTCTCGCTGGATCACAGTGGTTTTCTGTGATGGACCTCAAGTCAGGTTACTATCAAATAGAGATGTGTGAAAAGGATAAACCTAAAACTGCTTTTGTTTGCCCGTTTGGGTTTTATGAATTTAACCGTATGCCACAAGGAATAACAAATGCTCCAAGCACTTTCCAACGGGTTATGGAAAAGTGTATGAAGGACATTAATCTGAAGGAAGTGTTAGTTTTCCTAGACGACTTGATCGTCTTTTCCAACTCCTTGGAAGAACACGAAACCAGACTTTCTCACGTTCTTGAACGGCTTAGAGAATACGGACTCAAGCTATCACCAGATAAGTGTCGTTTTTTCCAGACATCTGTGCGTTATCTTGGACATATAGTATCTCGAGATGGCATAAAAACCGATCCAGATAAGGTGGAAGCACTCAAAACATGGCCGAAGC